ACGACTGCAGTTCCACATAAAGCCTCTCAATACATTTTTTACGTTCTTAATTTCGATGGAGGCAATTTTATTGCCATCGTCGCAGGTAGCGTGCGAGTCCATATCGAAGCAGTTGGAGACGTCGCCATCGTGGGCCGCAAACTCTGCCTCAATTGTTGTCGTTGTTGTTGTTGTTGTTGCTGTTGCTGTTGTTGTTTGGGCGCAGTTAATTTGGTCATCTTCCATGATGTTTTGATAATGCTGCTGCTGCTGCCGCTGCAGCTGCCGCCTCACCTGGTCCATGGCTCTTACATCTGTTGTCGTCGCATTTATACCCTAAGCTGCTCAATTTAAAGGGTTATAACAAGCGGCCCAGAAAAAGGGCAAGACAAGCTTTTTTTTTTTTTTTTTTTTAATTTTAATGCAAATATGTTGTATTATATAAATAAGTATGTTATATAAATGTACTATAAACATATTCAATAATTCTAATATTATAAGAATTAAATTTTTAATGGTAAAAAATTATTAAATATGAAAATATTGTATATATTACAAACAATAAAATATTAAAAAATAAATAAATAATATATGAATTAAAATATGAATTATAAAAAAAAGTAAATAATAATAATTATATTAACATGTATCAAAATGAAAATTCAAAATTTATATAACATCAAAATTGTTGATAAATTTTTTTTTTATAAATAAACTTAATAAAGTAAGAAATGTAAAAAAAAAAAAATTAAATATGAAAATATTGTATATGTTACAATATAAATATTATAAAATATTACAAATATTATTTAAAAATAAAAATATATATAAATAAAAAAGAATCCGAAAATAATAAAATGAATAATTCAAAAATGAAATACTAAAATGCACAAAAATAATATTTTTAAATATTAAAGTCTATCAAAGTTAAAAATAAAAATTCATCAAACATAACAATTATTAGTAAATTTATTATTTATTTATTTTTTATTTTTATTTGTATTTGTATTTTAAATTTTTTTTTTTTTTTTTTTTTTTTTTTTTTTTTTTTTTTTGCTAAATATCTATTTATTTTAGTAAGATATTAAAAATAATTACTCTATTATGATTTCTAATTTGTTGTTAGTATTCAATACCCAGAAGGTATTTATTAGCTGATCAGTAGTTTCTGTTAAATTTCTTGTGATTTCGACTCTGCTCTCCCAGACAACAACAATAATGCAGACGTGCACGAAATTCTTGTCCCGCTCCGAATAATTACATAAATCAGTGATTTTTAAAGCGTTTCGAGTTTCCAGTTTTCAAACTGTCAATGCCATTGGCATTGGCCAGAGCACAGGCCCCAGTTCCATATATAAACTTCTATATATATATATGCACAGATATATACAGATATAGGTATATATTTAGATATGTATATATATATACATATGTACAGGTAGTCTCTTACTTACAAACTTATATACGAAAATGTCTCCGCTTTTAATGAGTCGTTTGCGTGCGCAGGTTGTCGGCTTTTTAAAGCTGATTGTTCCGGATTATGTGTGTGTGTATATAAACATATATATATATATATATATATATGTATGTGTATGTGTATTTGTGGATCGTTAAAAGGGCAGCGTATTAACACCTAAAGGGGCCGCTGTTCCCACACACTGTTGAGTCCCACACTAACATTTTATGTGCGGCCAAATTTCACAGTAAAAATCGCACCTACATAAAAGTTCGGAAAAGGCACCCTTGACTGCCAATCTGTCAGCAAATGCGAATATATACAAAATGTAGATTTATGAGGCTGCAAAACTAAATTGAAGCCGAAATTGATTGATTTTTTGGCAAATTGCCAGAGAAACGAAAAGATTAACAGGAAAGAAAAAAAAATGAACATTTTGATTTACAGTTGCAGCTGGCAGAGCTTGGCTGAGTTTGTGCTGCAGTTGCCACATGCCACTTGGCCATGGCGACTGCGATTCAGCTGACTGATTGGCCAGCCCTCGCACTGGGCAATTGACCAGTTGCAAGAGCTGCACTGACCGGACATGGCCAGTGATCAGGGCCCCGACTGACAGTTGTGGTAACTTTTTGATGCGCTTGCAAAACCAACAACTCGCAAATTTGTAATTGTCATGCATTTCATTTGATTATGGCCATTGAACAGATCTTGAGCGATCTGGTGATCGGATGATCAAACAAGCAACGGTAAATGACGTGTTGCACCAGCCAATCAGCTGCAATGGAGCTCGAGTCTTGCCACTTGATGGAGCTTGCGGTCAAAACATCCCCTGTCTGATATTCAGTTGGTTGACTGCCAGAGCTGGCATCCGCAGGCAGAAGAAACAGAATTGTGAAAGATGCAATTGCATTTCCATTTCATGTTGAGATAATTGCAGCAAGAGTAGGCATGCTTATAATCTATCTCTTTATGAGCTTTAAATTGAATGTTTGTAGAAGCAGACGGTATATTTTTATCAAATATATCAAATATATCAATCTAAGCAAGAAAACAAAATTGCGAAACTCTGATATATAAATTCTTCTTATTAGCATTTCCTGCAATAGCTCATTAATGTTTTCTTAAAATCCTTAAATATCAATATCTTAACTTTGCTTTAAAATAACTTTAGGAGGCAAAAAATGTGTCATGTAGTTTTAAATATTCATTGATGATTAGTTCGATATTATAAAACTCATCAGCTATAATGAAATTTTTTTTTTTTTTTGTATATATCGACAAGAGCCTGAGTATATACAGTGGTTCATAGCTTATTTCAACCAGCAGCTCAAAAAAAGTTTGCTGATCTATAAAATCTAAACTATTGGGGATATCGAAAAAATTTAAACGCAGGTTGCTAGTGTGATGTTTAAACTAATACAAAATTAATTCATTTATTTTTAAAATATTTTTTTAATATTTCAAATTGATTAAAAACTAAAAAATTACCCCAAAACAGTTCAACAGCTTATTTCAATTACTTATGAAATAAAATTATTAAAGCTATGTGTTTTGTAAATAACAAAAAATTAATATTTTGGTTTACTACCATTTTATACCAATTTGGGATAGATTCCACCAACTTTTAAGTGACTTCTGCAGTAATTTTATCGCATTCCTCAACCAATGCAGATTTTGGGTCCGATTTTGGTTCCTTTGATATTTTGTGTTTGCGAATGTTTATTTCCAAAATCAACTACCAATTTTCGATTACATTTATTTCTGATGACTGGGCTAGTGGCTATTAGTTTAAACATCATACGAGCAACCTGCGTTTACATTTTTTCGATATCCCCAATAGTTTAGATTTTATAGATCAGCAAACTTTTTTTGAGGCGCTGGTTGAAATAAGCTGTGAACCACTGTATATATACAAATATATATATATATTTTTTTTTTTCAAGTATTTCCAACGATTATTAATACCATCTTATAAAACAAATCAACAAAGCAAACCCTTATTATCATTAAAAATATTATCCATAAAGGATTAAAAACTAAAAAAAAAAAATAGGTTAAATCAAAGCAATATATTTTTGAAGGCTGAAGAAAATATATGAACATCCATAGGATGCCGATTCATCACATTCACCAAATTGAACTCAAACGACCTAAATCAAATATCGCAAAGACAAATATGATAAACATATAAATAATTTAGTCTATGCCCAAATCATAGTAGCATTTATAATGTTTTACTTATCTGATTGTATTTTGATTCTGAAAATCAAGAACCCCTAGTTAAGTAAAAGACTCATCAGGATACATTTTTGATATTATTTAGTTGTATTTGTTTTCCATGAGTGCACAAATGTCGAAATTACTTTTTTTTAATGATTCCTCTTCGATTTATCGTAAGTTTTTTTTTTTGCGGTTTTTTATATGTTTTTTAAATATTTTTGTTTTTGTTTTGCTCACAATCATATGTTTAATATTCCATCATTAAATAGTTTTTTTAAATTTTGTTTTGTATTTTGTATATGTTAAGATATTTTTTAATAATTATTTGTAATTAAATACGCTTTAAAAATAAATGTTTTTCTGTTATGTATCACCAAAAACAACAACACACATGCGATTCAGTTATTGTTTATCGACAAATCAGGCTCTATATATACGATGTGTATATGCTATATAGATACTCGGATAAATGATGGGCTGCGTCTATCAGTTGTGAGTGTGTGTGAGTGTGAGTGCGTGTGATATGAGAGGGTGCCAAAAAAGTATATACATTAGGATGATTGGGGGCTGGGGAGCGTGAGGGGATCATCATCATCATCATCAACTGTGAAGCTAACTATTTACATGGGAAGTATCCTGGCTTAAAATGGGCATTGGATATCCAATATATTGCTTTGACCAATTTCTGTGTTCTGTAGGTAGTTTCGATTGCTGAGGTTCTCTGCCTGTGGCTCTGGCTATTGTGAATGAATCGAAACAGATTTGATTTGTATTCGATTCAACTTGCTTAGGATTCGCATTGTTCTATGTTCTTAGCTGGCTGTCAACTTTGTTTTTCATTTTCTTTTTTGTTTGCTTTTATTTGTTCTTTCTTGTTCTCATTCAATTATTGTGCGGCACTGCAAATGAATAATAATTTTATTGAAAATTTCACATTATGTAAATATTCTCATGTATATATATATATATATATTATATATTGTGTATATTTAAGTTGACTTTGTGTGAGTTTCGAGAGATTATGTATAATTTGTTTAATTTTTCATTTATTTATTCATTTTTGTTAAATTTCTTGTATTTACAGCTAAAATTGTGCTTTATGCAATTGATTGCAACTGCAACTGCGGCTGCAGCTTCCTAATATGCCACATTCATATTCTTTTTATATCGTCTCTAAGCTAAGCTGTAAAATTGCCTTAAATTTTTGTTTTTTATTTTGTTTGTATAATTTTTTATTCATAAATATTTGCGTGTGTGTGTGTATGTGTGTGTGTGCTTCCTTTAATACTGTATGCTATACGATTATGCGTTCTGCCAAAAACATTTGAATGTAAAAGCATAAATGTTGTTGTTGAAATAAACAAATGTTGTATTCATTTAATTTAATTTTGAATTCATTTACAAAATGCGGCCATCTACCTTTTGAGTATGTTATAGGTAAGTTTAGATTTAGATTTAGGTTTTGGGTCACATTTATATATATATGAGGATATACATATATAAATACAATTGAATGTTTCACTAAATATATATTTATATAAGTACAGATACAAATTAAAACTTAAATGAGCGCTCCGGTGATTTCTAACAAATCAAATACAATGGGGTAAACCATAAAGCGAAGGGTTTCTATTTATAGTAGGTAGGTATAGTTAGAATTACAGTTAAGAGTTACATGTTACAGTTACAGTTACAATTACAGTTACAGTTACAGTTTAACTACTATCCGAACAACTAAATTAATCCAAATCAAATAATATAATAATAATAACAAAGCAAAAGCAGCTTTGTGCGCAAATACTGTTCAAATGTTGCATAGACACACACAAGACTGTTCCGTTTAGTTTCGTCAGCTCTTCTACCTATTTAGTAGTTGTAGTCTAAAGTTAGTTAGCTGCTGTTGCTGCTTGCAATGCAACTAATTAGTTACGCGTTCTTGTCAGTTTGCTGCTACAGATATATTCACAGATCGAAGATCTCTGCATGTAACCTAGGACGTTGAATACTTTCCTGCTCGCTCTCTCTCTTTCTCTATCTCTCTCTGTCTCTATATAGTATGTGTATGTATATTTGTTTTAATATAATGCGTAATAATACAAACGATCGCTACATACTTAAGCTTAGCCCTCTACTACTTGCTGTTCATCTTCCGTTATATACAAATTCTATAGCTAAGCAGCCTTCTCCCACCCCTGCCCCGATCTCTACCAGAATTGCGCTGTTGCTGTTGGCTGCATTGTCGTCGCCATCGTTGGGGCTGCTGCTGCTGCTGCTGCCGTTGTTATTGTTGCTGTTGTACTTCCAGATGCTGCAGCTGCGGCTGGACCTGACTGCGTCTGAGTAGGGTATCAGGAGTGCTTGTCTGTGAGCTCCGTCCAGCGCGACTCGAAGAACTTGCGCATGCCGTGACCCGCCTTGCCCACAGGCGAATCATCCTCATTGAACATTTCGCAGTTGTCAAAGATTTGCCGCACATCAACGCAAAAGTCTTCGCGGCACTTGTAGCTGTAACAAGATTCAATTTGTTAAGCAAAGTAAATTTACAGTTAAGTTCCATTTAGTCACCTCAAATCCTGCAGTTTCTTCTTGATTGTGGACAGATCCATGGGACTTTTGATGATCTTGCGATATGTGGGAAACTGTTTGGTGTTCACTGGCAACAGGAACGGCCAGGAGTCCTCATGCAGCTGCCAAAGAATAACCAATCAATTAACAAAAATTCAAATTTGTAACCAGGTGAGATTGCCTTACCTCCATTTCGCCCAGCAGCGTCTTGCAGACGGCCAGCTCCTTGATCAGCTTCTTGGTGGCATGCTTCTCCTTCTTCTCCTGCTTCAGCTTCTCCTTGGCCTCTTGTATGGCGTGTATGTTAATCGGGGGCGGCGACATTTGCGTCCCAGCACTTGGTGGCGTCGGTGTGCACGTTCTGGGCGACGGCATAGCCAGCAACTGTTGCTGCTGCTGCGGCGGCGATTGACAGGCAACGTTCAGCAGCGAGGTGGGCGAGGACTGCATCAGCACAGGTGCCGCCACATTTGCCGTCGGCGGCTGCAGCGGCGCTGTCAGCGTCGGCGGTGGCGGCGTTGGCGCTGGCACAGGCGTCGAGGTGGGCGTCGGCGTCAGCGTGGGCGTCGGTGTCCGTGTGGGCGTCACAGCGCGCGGCGACATGGCCACAAACTGCATTCCCTGCGCCTGCTGCGTCGGCACCACGCCAAAGCTGTTCGGCGCTGCATAGCCAGCAGCAAACGAAGCATTCTCCTCCAGCTGCGCGCCGCCATTGTTGTTGCCGACGTGCGCCTGGAAGCGGCTGGCGTCGATGGAGTTGTTGTGGTGGTGCTCATCGTACGTGCCGGAGGCAATCGAATGCGCCGGACTGCAAAACGAAGAACAAACCCAAAATTCTCTTTAGAATTGAAATAAGAATTGATGTGCATGATCATAAATTTCTAATCCACGCAGACTGTGCATGGTTCAGGCCAGGCGTGTTCGCATGTAAATTTGATGAAATTTTAAATACAAACGGAGTGGAAGCTTTATCTAGCTGGATTATAGAGCCTGACTCTAAATATTTTTAAGACTAATAGTATGGAACTCTCCTCCTCAAGTATTAAAGCTATAGCTCTAAAATCCATCCAAACGATTTTAATAATTAAATTTGTAGTGATAAACACTGCTCAAATATTAAAGTCACGCAATTTAGACTCTATTTTAGTGAAGTGCTTAGTTCATTAGTTTACCTTTTCATCAGTTTACCAATGAAACGGATTTGGAAGGAGCGAAAATATCGTCGAGGATTATTTTATAAATATATTCACAAACGTCACAGTTCTAGTTCGTTCGATATACAAAAATATATTGATCTTTATATCACTAGAATTGTGACGTTTGCGAATATATTCATAAAATATAAATTATATAAAATAATATACATTTTTTCAAATATGTATAAATGTATATAATTATATATAGAAAACATTCCATTAAAAAACGTGAGCTAATTTTAATTCTAATTAAATAAAAATCGTTCAATAAAAATATATATAAAATTATAAATACAAATATAAATTTATAAAAAAAAAAAAAATATATATATATATATATATATATATATATATATATAAGTTTACATAATATTGTATAGCTAAAAACTTCCCTTCATAAACTTCACAGTTGAAGTAAAAAGAGTCGTTCGATATATAATAAATCGATATAAAAATATATATATAAAAATATATATATATAATTATAATAATTGATATAAACAAAAATAAGTCATTTATAAAACTTTATAAATTGATATACATTTAATCCAATGTATATAAATTTATCCAAATCATATATTTATGAAAATATACATTTATTCAAATACATATAAATTTATATGCATATAAATTTATTAAAATATTTATAAATTTATACATTTATGTTTAGCTAAAAACTTCCATTGAAAAAGGTTTTTTGCGTATCAATAATTTCAATACAAAAGTGCTTGAGATGAATTAATGTGCATATATTTAAGATATGTCTTATGTTATACATATAATGTACGTATATAGTCATGTATGTATGTACAGGATTAGAGTAATGCGCATTGGAAATACATTTTACATTGATGATTGAATTGAAATGAGATGTGACAATTATTTGACAATTAGAAAGGGTCGCTCACCTAAGCGGCGCTGGCAAGGATGTCATGGACTCATCGTGCGACGAGTTGAGCGACTGCTGAGAGCTGTGCAGATGCAACTGTTGCTGCTGCTGCTGCTGTTGTTGTTGCTGCTGCTGCTGATGCTGATCGATGGAGCAGAGCTGCTCCATGCTGCCAGCCGAAGCCAGCAGCTGCTGCTTGTCGCTGCCTCGTCGCTTGGCTGCGGTGCTGGCGTCGCGATCCCGTCGCGATTTGCTGCTGCTGCCGCCGCTGCTGGCGGCGCTGCGCTTCTTCGGCGGCGGAGCACGGGTGATGCAGCCATGGCAATACCACTTGCCACGCGGCACCTTCAGCAGTGGCGGAATGTAGCAGTCGGCGTGATAGGCGCGCGGGCACAGATCACAGTAGATCATCTTGCCCACGGGCGATGGCCGATGCCCGCCGCATACGATGCACTTGCGCTCGTTGGTCGCCTTGTTGACGCACTCGTAGCAATACCTGTAAAGCAGGAGAATCTCATTACATGTTGCATTAGTTGAATTAGGGGGCGGAACGCGGCAGAGCGGGCGAGCGGGTGGACGGCTGATTGATTGATTGATTTGGTTTTGTGGTACAAAACAAAAGTAAACAAAATTCAAAACAATGCGACAAATGTGTGCGTGAGAGAGAGAGACAGAGATGCACAGATGTATGACCGAATGATAAATGATTTCGATTTGATTTGATTAGATTCAACTAAGGCTCGGCTGGATTTGGTTTGTTTGGATTTAGGTTGGATTTAGTTGGCTTTTTTTCTACTCACCAGTCGCCATCGGGTATGTTGTCCATTTTGGGCTTGAAGCAGTAGGTGTGGTAGCCCTTGTCGCAGCCATCGCAGAGCAGCAGCTTGTCCTCATTCTCGCCCGAGGTGCAGAACTGGCAATTCTGTAAGGAGTTTGAATATTTGCAAGAGTTTGTAGTAGTGCCTGAACGTCGTCCTTGTCGTCGTCGTTTCCGTTTGCCGTTCGAATGCGAGTTCGAATAGTCACTGTCCGAGTTCGAGTTCGTGTCTGAGTTCGAGTTCGAGTTCGAGTTGGAGTTCGAGTTCGGGGTGGCGTTGTTCTGGTCACGAGCACGGTCGCATCCATTCTGTGCCAAAGCCTTCAAGTTGATTTTGATGGTCATCGATGCAGTCTTGGCTGCTGGCGTCGACTCCTTAACGGTTTCCGCCTGCTTCGCTTTGGCCTGTGCTGCAGCTGCGGCTTTCGATTGCTTCTTTTCCTTGTCCTTTTCTTTCTTTGTTTGTTTGGCTTTCGATGGGGCTTGCTCCTGCTGCTGCTGTTGTTGTTGTTGCTGCTGCTGCTGTTGTTGTTGTTGCTTCTTCTTTGGTGTTGCCTGCTTTTTGGCGTTACTTTTCTTCTTGTTGGACTTGTTGTTCTTTGCGGGCATTGCATACTTTAGTACGCAGTCGTTTCACGTCAAGTTCGAGTTCGAGTTCGAGTTCGAGTTCGAGTTGCAGTTCGAGTCACAGTTTGAAGGAAATGTTGCGTTCGTTGCAGCGGGCAAACGGGTTAACGGATAACGGTAGCGGGTATGGCAACAAAAGCATTCGATTGTGAAACAAATGGCGTATGTATGTTGGAGTGTGTGTATGTGTGTGTGTGTGTGTTTGGATGTATGCATGTATATTGTTGTGAATTGGAATGTATGTGTGTATGTATGTATGAGTGGGTGTATGTATGTATGTATGTGTGTGTGTGAGTATGAAAGCGTTAAATTCGTTTTTTTGATTTTTGAACAAGAGAACACCATTGAACACCACAAACAACAAACAAGTCAAACATTCAGCGAAAGTGTTAAGAAAGAAACAGAACAAACAATAAAAACATCGAATTAATTTCAAGGCAGTCAATAATTTTGTTCAATTAAGGACGAAAGGGCTTGCAAAGGAAATAGAACGCTACAAAATTCTACAAAGATGAAGCATGCGAAAACAAGAGAAAACTTCTAAGTGTGTGACCCAAAATAGTAAAAAAAACTACGCGAGAAAATTGCCTAAGAATTGGATAAGAATGATGTGGGACTAAAAGATCATTTATAATGCTAAAAAATATATTTTCTTTATCGTTTCTTTTATGTATCTATAATTTTCTCAAATATCAACACAGCCGACTTGCTTTGACTTGGTAAAAGTTAAATCTAACATCTCTATCATTCCTAAGAACTGGGAACCAACCAAACCAATGAAAAACTCATTGATTCGCAAAACTTACATCAATTTTCAATCGCCTATCAATTCGAGGTTTTCTGATACACAATAATATTATTCTAATTATATATGTTTATTTATTACCTATATTTCTATTTATATATATCTCTACCCATTTATATTTCTGCCTATTTATACTTAAGCCCTTTTTCATACTGCCTATAAATAGTCATTTTATTTGGAAACCTTTTCCAATCCTTTATGCGCTGTATAATTTTTTACATTTATCCCATTTAAAATGGCTATAAAAAAGTATATTCTGTTTACTCTTATAAAATATAAAATCCTATTAATAATAATTATTTTTAAGCCTCTTTAAATGAATATCTCGACAAAGCTGGTCGAAATATCGGATATATAAATATGTATATATTATTCTTTAATCTATTTTTTCTTCAATCTATGTAAAATTTCCCTTCTTGCAAGCTCAGCCTTTGCTTCAGATTTTTCATTATTTTTACCATACTACTTAATATTGCCAATTGTTGTTATAAACAATAAAATATTTTTCAAATTTTATAGTCATTTCAGAATAAGTTTTCAATAAGTTTTCTAATTTAGCTCTTGGGTCACATAGATCCTACAGAAATTGTTTACGATTAAAAGAAAGCTGGTGAAAAATGGTTAGTGCACATGTCATGTGTATGTGTTAGTGAGTGTGTGTATGTGTGTGTGTGTGTGGATGTATTGTGAGTGGGTGTATGTGTGTGTATGCTGGTTATAGGGCAGTTAGTGTTAAGTACTTGGATGTGCGTATATGTACATTTAGTATATGAATGCCAAAGACTAGTTGGGGTATGGGAAGGGATTGTGGGTTCTGTGGGTTTGCTGGATTGTAGTGGGGTGCCAAGCTAAGAGGTAAGCATATGCCAAAAACAAAATAAAGAGAGGAAACAAACAAGATGAGAGAGCACTTACCGCCTTCATGATGCTCTTGTCCCAGGCCACACAGGACTCCAGCACATAGAGCGCCATGGCCAGCTGGGCGGTGGTGTGGGATCGAGCGACAGCATCGCGCCACTGCACCAATCCCTTGGGTATATTCTCCACCTTCTCGTCCTTGTCGCTGTCGCAGTTGCTCGCCGGCGAGGCGGCGCCAGAGCAGGGCTCCATGCTGCCAGCTGATGCTGCTGACGCCGTTGCTCCTGCTGCTGCTGCAGCTGCAGCTGTTGTTGCCGCCGCTGCTGTGTCGCAGGAGGCGGACGCAAGACTGCTGCTTGGAGCAGCCGCCGCGGCAGCCGCTGCCAACGCCATGGTGCGCTCATTGAAGGCGGAGGCATTGAGGCTATTGCCGGGCTGTTGGCTCTGCTGCTGCTGCTGGGCCATCAGCTGCTGCTGTTGCTGCTGCTGCTGCATCTGCAGCAGATATGCGGCCGCCGAGGCAGAGTTCTGGGTCTGCGTCGAGGTGTGCTGATTCTGTGCTATGACCGCCAGGTGGGCATCTCCGGTCTGCGAGCCAAGCGGAGGCTTCAGATAGCGTCGCTCAATGTTCGCCTCCAGATCGATGATGCGCTCCCGGATCATGGGTATGATGCTCACGAAGTCCGCCTCGGTCAAGTCCTCCTGCTCGGCCAGGCTGACGTCGTTGTCGCTGCGCGTGGGCAACTGCCAGTTCTTCAGCTGCATCGAGGCGCTCGCTATCTTATCCTCGAGCGACTCCAGCTGCTCCAGCAGTGCCAGCTCCACGCGCCTGGCCACCTTGGGATTCCAGTCGCCCGGCCGATCCGGCAGCATGTACTCCACCAGCTCAGCCTGGGCGTCGTTCAGCTTCAGCTGATAGTTGATGCCCAACGGCTGCTCAAGACTCAGGAATCGCGTTAGATTCTCCTGCAGCTCGCGCTCTCGCAATCCCGAGGGATTCAGTGTCTTCAGCAGCTGGCGCAGCTTCTGCTCATCGTCCAGCTGCCACCAGCCATAGCGCTGCCGGCGTGGCACATAGACGCCGTGCACCTTCTCCGGGAATCCGGCCAGCTTCACCTGCTCCAACAGCCGGTGCTCGTCCGGCGTCATCGAGAGTGGCAGAGGAATGTCGATCGGTATGTAGGTCTGCACGCTGCTCAGCGACATGTTCGCTATGTTGTGATAATACGCCTGGGACAGGGCCTCATCCAGACGCAGCTCAATCTTGGGCTTCAGCTCGGAAGATTCGCCGTTCCCGCCTCCTGTGTCCGGTGCGGCATCAGCGCGCAAACGAAAAAACGAATCCGACTCAGACTCGGACTTGGACAGCTTCATTGGCTGCTGTTGCGGTGATTGTTGCTCTTGCTGCTGCTGCTGCTCCTCATCAGTTGTCTGGCAACGATGAGGAGACGCCAGACCGTTTTTTGACACCGTTAACTTGGCCTGTTCGTACTCATCCAGCTTGGCCTGCATCTGCTTCTCGTCCAGCCCCGACAGCGTGAAGATGCACTCCTGACTGAACTTGCTCGGATCCACCTTGCACTCCTCCATGGGTATGCTATAGTACTGCATGTTGTTGATCAGATCCCACGGATGTCCCTGCATCTGCAGCTGTGCGCTGCAGTTCTGGGAGTTGGCATAGCTCAGCTGCAGCTCTGGGGCCACCACGCCGCCCTCCTCCGCGGGCAGCTCGCTGATCAGCGGCACCTCGCGCTTCACTATCGAGAACCAGCGCGGCGTAGTGTCCTCGCCCACCTGTGTAGTGGACACAATGATGCAGTCGTCCTCCTTCTTCAGATCATCTTGAGTGAGTGCCTCCATTTTTTCACAGTTGCCGTTGCCGTTGCCATTGCTGTTGTTGTTGTTGTTATTATTGCTGTTGACGTTGCCGTTGTTGTTGTTGTTGCTGAGCGTTGGTATCAGACCCGGAATGGTGGGTATTTTAATCTCGGCCTCAAAGTCCGTCTTTGTGGAGATGACCGTCGGCGGCGGTCCCATTAGTTCCATCTCCGACTTGACCTTAATCTCGGGCCTCGTCACAATTGGCTCGGCGGGCTTCACAACGGCGGGCGGCATATCGTCATCGTCGTCGCCCAGATCCACTATCTCCGGCTCCACTTTGTTAATCTCCGTCACATCATCATCGTCATCGTCGTCCTCGACCACGTGCTCCGCCTGATGATTCGTTTGTTGCGCCTTGCCGCTGTCCACTTCCTTTGCCTCATCAACTTCCATGGCCTCAGCTGCAGTTGCATCAACTGTTGCTCCTGCTACTGCTGCTGCTGCTGCTGCTGCTGGCGCATCTGCTTCAGCCTCGGGTGTTTCTTCGGGCACAGCGCTATCATCCACGGCCATCTGTTCCGTTGCATCGGGTGCCGGTTCCGCTGGCTTCTGCTTCTGCTGCTGCTCGTCCATGGCCTCCAGTGCCTCGTGATAGTCGCAAATCTCGTTCTGTGCCGACTCCAGAGCTTCGATGAATATGCCGCCGGCCTTTGGCAGCTTCCAGTAGCGTCGCCAGAACCGATCCTGGCCAAAGCAGGCGGCGCGCAGCTGATTGGTGCTCTTCTCCAGCGCCTCCTTGCAGTTGAGCGAGGCGCGCACAATTTTGTCCAGTTTCTTTTGCAGCTCATCCGCACTCAGGCGATTGTCCTCGTCCTCCTCCACATTGGTTATCTCCGAGTCCAGGTCGGAGAGGTCATCCTCGATGATGCTCACATCGTGGCTCTGCGTGTGCCCATCCTCATTGATGGAGTTGCGTGCGCCGCTCTTCTTTGCCTGCAGCATGGCCGACATTCCACCATCCGCCACCGCACCACCGACTCCGGCTGTGCCGCCATTGTGCTGGTACTCCTCCAATTTGGCCAGCTGCTTCGACGGGCTCACCTCGACCAAGGAGGCAGCAGCCTGAGATGCCACAGCATCGTTGTTAGTTCCAATCGGAACTGCTGCATCGCCATCCAAGTCCATGGGCTGTGATTGTTGTTCCGCTTCTGGCGACTGCTGTTGCTGCTGCTGCTCCTGCTTGTCCTGCTCCTCCTGCGTTTTATCCTCGCTGTTGCAGTCGGCGCCCGCAGCACTGCCCTCCGTTGCACTCGGAGCTGCAGCGGCTGTTCCATCGGCCGATGTCTCGGCCGTTGCCTGCTTGTTGGCCTCCGCCTCGGCCTCGGCCTCCGCCTGCTTGGCGAGGCGTTCGCGCTCCCGCTCCGCGTCGAGCTTCTGTTGAGCCAGCAGCGCCTGCATGGCCGCCTCGCGCTCCGCCTGCGCCTTCTCGTAGGCCTCGATGCGCGCCTTGCGCTGGTGCAGCGCCTTGTACTTGCGCACCTTCATGTCAGTCATGTACTTCTCCTTGCGCATCTGGGCGCAGGTCTCGAGGCTGCCGTCGATCTGCCGCAGCACGGCCTTGTTCATCAGCAGGTCGTTGCACAGGTGCGCCAGCATCTGCGCCTTGCGCGTCGGATTGAGCGCCACGAAGGGCCGATCCTTGAGCGCATGCGACAGCTTCCAGGTGTCGTTCTCGTGCAGCAGCTTGTAGTACTCGTGATTCTTGGCCGAGTGCGTGGCCGTGTCCGCATCCACCTGATGGTGGTCGGGCACTCGGCGCTCGCGCTCCCTGTCCACAGTGATGCCGTGCATCTGTCGTATCTCGCCGGTGGCCGTGGCGTACAGATAGATGCGCAGAATTTCGGATACATTCGAATTGGTTATGTCCGCGTTACGCAGCGACTGGCCCAGCAGCGTGGTATGGCGGCCCGGATTGGGCACGCCCGGATCCTCGATGGCACAGACCAGCAAATGCGTCATCACCGACAACAGCTCCTCCTCGGCGTCGGCGTTGCTGTCGCTGATCAGCGCATCGTGCAGATTCTGCAGCGATGGCAGCGACTCCATGTCGAAGCCCAGCGTCTCGCCAAAGTTGTGCAAGAACTCAAACACCATCAGCAGATCGGCCATCGCCTGTCCAGGCAACCGATTGCCAGCGATGCGCTCCAGTTCCGGCACAGACAGCTCCTGCGGCAGCTCCGAATCCTCGCTCGGTTTGCGTATTAGCTGCAAAATCTCTGCATCTCGCTTGCGCTCCGCCATGCGACGCTCGCGCAGTATCAAGCGATCCAGCACCAGCTGGTGCTTCTTCTTCTCCCGCTCCTCGAACTTGCGCCGCACCTCCAGCATGCGAATCAGATTCATGTGCTGACGACGACGCTCGCGCTCCTAAAATAGATTGAGAAATACTTTAAGTATGTGACAATTCTAGTAAATAGCGCATTTACCATTTCGGCAGCTAGCAGCAGCTCCTTTTGCTTCTGAAGTTCCTGTTGCGGGAAGAGAAAGGATAAATGAGCAATGCGAAAGAATATTTGAGTGTATTCGAGTTCGAAATTCGAATGGAAACTAATCGAAGCGCTATAGTCAGAAAGTAAAAGCTAATAACTAAAGATGAGGAAATAAGTTGCAAATAATTAAGTTTCAACTCAGCTTAAACTAAGAAAACAAGTGGCAAATAATTAAGTTTGAACTCAGTTTAAACTGGAAATTTTGGCTATGATCAAGTCAAGTCGAGAAACATTTCAATACAATAGTAGAAATAGAAAACAGATGGTAAAAACTAATGCGAAATATAGCGAAGTATAAAGTAATTAACTTTCAAATATCATAAGATAGAAAGCTTTAACTAAAGATTCAACAAAATATTAGATTTGATATCATTTGAATAGCATATAAAGGAGAAGCGAAATGAATTCGATAAACCAACTTGACCGCTAGGCAGAGACTAAACATTCTCAAGTAAAATATAATAATTAAAAGCTGATTAGATAACAAAAAAGATTCAAGTATATAACATGAAAATTCGATCAATACAAAATTGATGTTGATATAATATTATGCAGTATATAATTAAAGGATATACCCGACATAGGCATACATATATTCTGTCTATCAAAGACATTTTATTCAATTATATGCTCTGTACTCAAATGATCTTTAAAATAAAATAGAGAGTAGCAACATAAGAAACTTAAATTTGAAGTTTAGCTTTAGAGGCTTTCAGGGAGATAATTCCAGATCAGATAGCATAATAATTTATATCGAGCACAAAGGCAAGCACAGAAACTAAAAGGAGTACAGGATACGCTGATAGTAACAAATATATGAAATAATTGTTTTTGTTTTTGTTGTTGTTGTTGTTGTACCTGTTCCTTAGCTAGAATTGCTTCCTGACGTCGCTTCTCTTTCTCCTAAATATTACAAAGAAAATGCAATTGGTAAAGAAAACTATGCAGGACAGCGAATGCATAAATATGAAATATAACTAACCTGCTGCTTCTTGAGCAACTCCTCCTGCTTGAGGCGATCCAGTTCCTCCTGCCGTTTCTTGCGCTCCTGCAAATTTCAATTGAAATTTGTAATTGAGTATTTATTTGACATTAAGACTGTTCAATCGACTCACCTCAATGGCCTGCTGATTCTTGAGCTCCTTCTCTTTGCGCTGCTGCTCCAGCTTGGCATTCTTCTCCTGTCGCGCCTTCTCCTTGTTGCGTGCCAGCTCCTCCTTCTGTTGCTTCTTGGCGTCGCGCATTGCCTGCTGCTGCTTGGCGATCTCGATGCGCTGCTCCACGTTGAGCGTCTGGCGCGTGAACACTTTCAGATCCTCCAGCCGCTTGGCCACATCCTCGTCCGTCATGCGTATGTAGTCGCCATCGTTGGCATAAGGCGCCGGCGCTGGCTGCAGGAACGAGCCGACAATCGCACGCGCCGAGAAGCTAAAGTTTTCGCGCGACAAATTCGATGGCTGCTGATCCAAGAGCTGCACCGGGGCAAAGGGAGAAAGGGAGAGCGGGGAAAATATGTTAATTGAGTCAAGGATGATCTTTCATTAAGGAAATGTTCTCGCTATCTCTTTCTTTCGTAAATGTGTACGAGTGTGTGGCACGTATTACAAATTACAAATGCGCCCTACAAACTCACAGCAAACACTTGGCCAATGGTCTTCAGGGGCAGGGTGCTGCCCGGCGCATAGTAGGTGACCTCGCCGCGTATCTGGCCCTGCTTGGTCAGGCCACGTATGACTGTTTCTCGCTTCCAGCCCAGCTCCAAGGGCACGCGCAGCTCCGCCACATTCAATATGTTCGCATCCTCACTTTCCGACTCCGACATGCCGCTCTCGGCGGCAACACTCTCCGAGTCTGTCGACGTTTCCATGTGTGCGTTCGCCTCGCTCAGCGCCAAGCGGATCTTCTCCTGCAATGGGAGAAACCGTTAATCGAAACACTTAAGTAGAGGCAAGTTATCTTACAATGTCTGCGCCCTGCTGCAGCAGCTGCTGTGTGGCCAGCATGGGCTTCAGGCCGACGGCACGGGATTGGGCCAGCAGCGAGGCCACCGTGTTCTTCTTGGGCTTCGATACGCCGCGACCCAGATTGCGTGGTCGTCCCTCCTTATAGGTTGATGAGCCCGATCCCGAGCCTGACGAGCCAGACGTGCCCGAAGCGGCGGGCAAGCTGCTCTGAGCCGGCGAAGGCGATGCACCGCCTGCTCCACTGCCGCTGCCAGAGATGGAACCGCCGGGCATGCCGCCGGTGCCACCCAAGGCGGCTGTTATGGAGCTCAGGCTCTGCAAGCTGTTCGATCCGTTGCCGCTGCTGCTCTGCCCTGTTTGATAATCGCTGGCCAGATTGCCCAACGCCGCCGAGGCCGTCGACGATGATGCAGCAGATGAGGCGCCTCCTGTCGAATTCACATTGTTGCTGCTGCTCTTGTCCGAGGGCTTCATGGACAGATTAAGCGGAGCATCGAAGTCGTCTATGGTAATGGGATTGGAGGCAGAGCCAATGGCACCGCTGGCGGGCGCGCCGCTCGACTTGAGGCTCAGATTGACGCCAGAGGCGAGAGCCGGATCCCCGGTCAAGTCGTGCAGCTCCTTGCCGCATCCCTTGCTGGACAGATTGTATGCGCCGTTGGAGGTGATGGTCGGTGGCAACTTGATCACTTCCACGCGATCGCTGGACGCATTTTGGTTGTGACTGTGGCCCGACGTAGAGCCGCCAGCGGTGCTGGTCACCGTCGAGGAGGACGATGCGGCCGACACCACTGCCTTGGAGACGCTGCTCAGCTGCTCCATGGGCGTCATGCCTAGGCCCATGGGCATGCCGGCCGCGCCCAGCATGCCGTGCAGATGCTGTTGTTGTTGCGCCGCCGCCGCCATGGCTGCGTACTCCATTTCGAGTCGGGCACGCTTCGCTGGACTGAGCCCTGGAAATGCAAGCAGAGAGGAAATTGCATTTGTTGTACTTTCTAAATCCTTCTGCTGCTGTTGTTGTTGTTGTTGTGTAAGGTGTTGCTGTTGTTGTTGTTGTTCTGCTTGGTGTTGTTGTTTCTGTGTGGCTTGTTGTTGCTGTTGTTGTTGTTGTTGTTGTTCTGTTTCAGATATGGTCTTCTTGCGACCGCGTGAAGTACTACCAGGAATCTTGGGGCCCACGATGGAGGACGTGTACTTAATAATCTCCGTATCCGGCGGCAGTCTTACGCCCAACAGCGACGGATGCTCGCTGCTGCTGCAAAGCAAATGACATTAATACCAAAATGGATTTGATGAAATCAATTAAATGCTCAAATTTACCTGCTCATCATGGCCGCATTACTCATGTAGTCCTTGACCTTGGCCGCACTGCCGCCGGCCATCGTTGTGCTGGGCACCTGCTGCTGTTGCTGCTGCTGGGACGAGTGGGCCGACGAGGTGACCGTGGCGCTGGCCCCAGTGCTTGCGGCAAAGGCATTCATAGCCGCCTGCATGCTCTGCTGCGGCGTCAAGCCAAGTGCTCCGAATTGTGACAGCGAGTTGAGCGCATTCAGCGACGGATTGTTCTTATCGCGATCCCGATCCTTGCCAGAGCTGCCCATGCCGCTGCCCGACATGTTGCCGTGCGGCGACATTGCCAGGCCCGGATGCATGCCACCACTCGAGCTGGAGCTGACATTGGTCGAAGCTTTGCTGCTGGACATGATGCCGCCACCACTGCCGCCGCCTCCACCGCTGCTGCTGCCGGCGCCGAGGCTCATCGCCAGATTCGATAGGCCGTGGGCATGCAGAGACGAACTGCCGCCGCCACCGCCGCCTCCACCAGCACCGCCGCTGGACTTCTTGCCGGAGGAACTGTTGGAGCTGCCGCCACTGCCCAAGCCCGACATGCCGCCCACTCCAGAGCCCGAGGCAGCCGCTGCAACGGCCTGCATGGCCAACAGCTCCTTGTGCAGGGTGACCGGATCGTATGCAGATCCGGGATTGCTTGCAATACTGCTTCCACTGCCGCTGCTGGTCATCGTCGACGGCTTTCCGTATGCGCTGGCAGTACTCTACAAAATTCCAAAAAATTTCATTAAAATTTAAAAACTTGAGAAGTGCTAAACAAAAGATTATAGCTTAGATATATGTGGGTCTAAATGGAGAATAAATATAGCTAACTCTTCACTTATAGTTAAGGATTTATGTTGATTTATATTATATTATATTTATCTTTTACTTGAACTTCTACGATGGATTTTTAAAATATATATTATATTATATTTTTCATCCGTAAAAGCTCTTAGAAATCCTTTTATATTATCTCCATTTCACTCTCGCCCTTTCGCTCTCTACGCTCCACAATTCAGTTTCACTCTCCATTTCTTCGTTTCCTGTGTGTGGACTAACTATTCTATTCCTCAATTTATCTCCACTTTACTCGCTTCCCTTCACGCCCCAAACTCCTCCCTTCACTTGTCACTCTTCAATTTGCATGCTGCATTCTCCAGTCTCCTCACACTCCACCCACCTTGTAGCTACCGTGTCCGGCGCTGCTTGTTGATATTGAGGAGCTGCTGCCCGAGGACGGCATGCTGGTGCCTGGCAGTCCAAAGCCATGCATGCTGGCCAGCGCTGCAGCTGGATTGTTCGCAGCCGCCGCGGCTGCTGCTGCCGCTGCAGCATTCAGACTGTTGGCCAGATTTTGTTGTTGCTGCTGTTGTTGTTGTTGCTGCTGCTGCTGCTGAGCGGCGCGCTTCTCTTTGCGCGATTTGTTCGACTTGCTGCTGGAGCTGCTGCCACCGCCCGAGCCGCCACCTCCACCGCCGCCAACGCCCACCATGCCCGCACCGCCGCCTGCACCACCGCTAGAGCCAGTGCCCCCGCCGCCCATCGCCATGGCAGCGGGCCCAAAGGCAGCGGCCAGATCGGGATGGGGAAATGGCGAGAGGCCCGATGCCTGCAAGCGACTGAAATAATCCTGCGCTGCCAACTGAGCCATGGACCACCAGCCTGTAAGTGGAAACAAAGAAATATAATATAAATAAATACAATATAAGAATGCTTAGCATATTCATAATAATACATTTTAAGAACCCCTTTACACCCTGATAAATATATTACAAATACAAATATATAATCATATATACATTAAGTATCTAATATACTCAATTATATTTTAATCTAATAATTATAATAAATATACTTGAAAAAAATATAAAATAATTTTAAGCAGCATTTGAATAAAAAGTTAATCAACCCGCAAAAAATAGTTAATAAATAAATAAAATATTAATATAAATATTATTTACAATATATATATATATATTTTCTAATTAACTTGAAATATTATTTAAAATTTGTTATCATTATTTATAAATTATTTTCTGACTTTACAATTACAAGTTAATAAAACTTAAATCAAATTTAAAATTTTTGCCTAAAATCCATCAACAACAATTGAACAAAATGTTAAAAATTAAAATATTGTTATTTTGCCAGTTTTGTTAATTTTTAACTTTTTAATTTCTACAACAAAAATTAGTAGTATTTTTTTGTTTCTATTTAAATTAATAAATTAAATATAATAAACAAATTAATTAATTGTTTGCCCGCTCATCACTTGAGGACCTATAACTATTGAAAGTCGCAGTCGACAAGCGTAAAGCAATAAATAGACAGTTTTTCTCTAGGAGCGTTTTCTTCAAGTGAATCGCGCAACAAAGGACGAAACACTTGCTGTTGCACTCCCATATGAATACAAAAGCTCTCTTTCCGCCACTCTCGCTCTCCCTCCTCTCTCGCTCTTTTAAATTTATATTATTTTCGCTTGACTCCGACAAGATTTGAACCGGCGCATTTCTCTGAGTTCCTCCCTCTCTTTCTGTATCAGTTCAATCCGTCTCAACATTTTAGCGGGCAGCGCCAACACAGCTGCTACGTTGCGTGTAGCAAAACGGCTGCTTTGACTCTTCTTCTGGTTTCTTTGCTTTGTCTCACTTTTCGTATGCTAATTAATGTGGACGATTGTCGATGCCGACATTTTACTCACTTGCTGGGTGCAGACCCGCTAGGCTGGCTGCCTGCGAGGCCGCGACGGCCATTGTGTTCTGATGATGGTGGGCGCCGGCAGCTGCCGCTGCTGCTGCGGCCATTGATGAATAACGGTCGTTGGCAGCAGCTGCTGCTGCGCCCGCAGCATTTGGCAGCAGGCCCAAGCCGGCGGCAGCGGCTGCATTGAACTGCGAGTTGAAGAGCGGATTTGAGGCAGCCGCAGCTGCAGCGCCAGTTGGATCGCGGCCCCAATAGGCTGCAGGCAAGAAAAACAATAAACAAATGGTAATTATTAAATCCTATATCTAAATGTATTTGAATTATTTCTAGATTACATACCGAACAGCGATGCCGCATCTAACAGTCCGGTGGGATCATGGGGATTGCCAGCCCCTGCGCCGCCACCCGCCCCGGAGCCCCCTTTTCCACCGTGATTATTTGAGTTTTTGCCATCGTTGCCGCTGCCATCGCCGGCATTTTTGTTCATGTTAAAGTGCAAAGTTTTTGTTGTTTGTTTTCCTTTTTGTTATTATTATTATTTTTGTTTTTGTTGTGCTTTTAACTGCCTGCAAATGGATAGAGATAGAGAGAATGCAAAACAAATAGTTAGCATATTATTGAAATTACAGTTATAGCATATGAACTCTCTTCAACTCTCGCTTAATTCGCCGCTCTCTCAATTCTGCTTTCGCTCTCAATGCTGGGAACGCTATGGTAGCGGCTATGCGAACGTCGAACGCAAAGAGAAAACACGAGAAACATGAAAAGCAAAACAAAACTACAAAAAAAAACTACACACACAACTTCCACACACAAAACGAACGGAAACGGGTAGCGGTCGTGCTGTTGTTGTAATTGTGTGCGTGAGAGCAATGGGAGAGTAAGAACAGAACGGCGTCTCTGTGCGGCTCGCTCACTCGCTCACCACTACACCTGCATACAGGGGCAAACAGAAACAGAGCGAATTAACAGCGTCGCGCAGCGCGCAACTCACACACGGCGTAGCAGAAAAAATGCGGCGAACACAAATAAACGAATAAATTGCATTTTAAATCGACTGAAAAAAGAACTAATTTCATGTTCGGAATTTATTCAATTGTGCAAATCACTAAACACAAATATTTTGATTCCTTTACCAAAACCCACACAGTACACACATAAACATAGCCGTAGGCACTACAGGCGCATACATAAGCCGCAGCGGCGAACGATGCATACACAAGGCGAAAAAGAAAATGCCGTTCGATTTACTTTGAGCAATTTTTAACTGAGTACATTTAGTAGCCGTATTTTCAACTTTTCCTTTCTGTTTTTATTTTACATATGTTTGGTTTCTCTTTATAAATTTCATTCATAAAGTTTTGCCTGCATTTGCATTTCACACATTCTGCATATGAACGCCGCCTCTGCCGACGACGTCACCGCGCTGCCGACGCCGCTGACTAAGCGTTGACTGAGACACAGATAGTCTGTCGGCCTTTTTGATAAAAAAAAAAAAAAAAAGAGATGCATCCACTTTGCACAGATGCTTACTTGAAAATTGGCACATAGAATGCATTTGGCATACTTTCTTATACATTTCACATATTTTTTGATATTTTTTCACCGTATTTTGTATATTTAATCCACAATTGAAATAATTTACGGACGAGCTGTGGCGAAAAGCAAACCAAATATCTGTGGGATAACGTCGCGACTGAGAGCGACAATACTGTGAAAACAAAAACGCGCTCGGCTCGTTACAAGTGGAATTGAAACATGAGAGCGGTGTCGTGCCATGGCACGAGTGTGAGAGGCAATGAATGGACCGATGCCGATGCCGATGCCGACGCCAGCGTTGACGGCGACTGCGACGACAACGGCAAAGGCGACGCGTTTTCACAGTGGTTGATAATTACACATTTTTTGTTGTTTTTTGTGTCGCGAAAAAGAAAATGCATAATTTTATGAATTAATCATTTTAATGAGCATACGTTTAGCAACCCACAGTGCCACAATAAAGGTGGAGCGCATTTTTGCTCCTCTTGCCTCTTAATAACAGTTATTGCGCTTTCTGCTGTCACGCATCATAACCGACAGATGTCTCCTCTGCTTATCACTCACAAAGCAAGCGACGGAGGATGAAGAGAGTGTGCGTATTTGTTTGTATGTGTTTGTATTAGAGGGAGTTGGGGGCAATTTAAACTAACAAATTGTAAGACGCGAGCCAGAGTACCTATTGTACGCATACAGCAAACAATATTGCAAAGTAAATACTTCGTTCTTCGCCTGTTTCTTTTGTTTCTGCTGTTTTGTGTCTTTTCTTATACTTCGGTTAAAGTTTTATGACGGCAACCGTTGGCACAGTTGGACCTTTGCTCGGGTCAAAGCGTCGTCAACGGCAACGGCAGCAAAAAAGGTTGTATTTGTATTGGGATGTGTGTGTACCAGTCTGTATGTGTGTGTGTGTGAGGGTGTGAGCAGAGCAAGCGCGCGCCAACAACAACAACAGTAGAAATAACAACAGCAAAGCGTTGGCAATATGATTCGAGCATTTATCGTTGACGCTGTCACCGTCGACAACGTCAACCGCGACGCCGGCGTCGACGCGCTGCCAATGAAAAGGTGCGCGGAGCGTGCGTATGGGCATGGGGGAGGGAACATCCAAAGCGACGGCTGCTTGTTTTTTTTCTTTTCATTTTATTTTATTCTTTTTTTTGCAAACTTGACGTGTATGTATTTTTTTTTTTTTGACCATAGCAAATGACTGACGGTACCTGCTGACTCTCTCGACTCCACTGAGCGAGTGACTGACTGCCCGCCCGACTGTCTGACCGACCGACCGACCGGCCGACCGACTGTCTGCTCTGCTGTCGTTTCAATATTTGTGACTGACAGTACAAATGCGAAATTCTTTTTATTGTGCTCCGACGACGACGCCGCTGCTGGCGTCACTGCCCGTCGATACTCATTCTGTTTCCTCTCGCACTTCCCACCCTGTCCCCTCTACCGTTCACTTTACTAACTCACACAAGTTTTTCTTATGTGTTGTTGTTGCTGCTGTTGTTGTTTCTTTTTGTGCTCTTGATTATCTCTAGCTCAATTGGCAGCCGTCAGTCGCTTTTTAAGCGTGTGTGTGTGTTTGTGTGCGCAAGTGAGTGAGTATGTATGTATGTGTGCTTTTTTGTGTATCTTTGCCAAATGCCGCCGCTGCTTTTGTGTTTTATATACATACACACACACAACACAACAGCAGCAACAAGAACAATATCGTCGCCGCAGCTGCCTTCTATAATAATTTTGTTGATTTCCTATTAAATATGCTGATACAATATTCGCTTCCATGCAAATATCTTGCCCCCATTAATCCTCAATCGAATTAAACGAATTTTCCACACATCGAAACTTTAACAAGAATTCGAAGTTTGTTGTGTTTGCATAAATTAAGTTATTTAATTAAATTGTTTGTGTTTCGTATGCATATGCATGCAAATTGTGGGTTATCGTCATAGAAGACTTAATGTTCCTGGAATGAAACAATTCTAGTGCAACATGCATACGTAACATGCACATACATATATAAGTATGTGTATATGTAAGGCAGGAGAGCTTTGAGTGGGTATGAGTGCATGAATGGTGACTATATGTATATATATTTATGTGTGTGGGTCGCTTTGATTATTGGCTACTTGCGTCCCTTTTGGCGCGTTTCAATTCCAACCGTGGCGCTTTCGGCACACATGCACACATGCCTAAATACACACATTTTTATTTATTTATGTTCACTTGTCCGCGCATTCGCTGATCATCTTTGACTCGACATACAGTCAAACACGCTCACACGAATACATACATATCTACATACGTATGTATGTATATAGCCATGTTTGCATGTATGTATGCATTTGTAATTTTGCTGGCATTCTTGGGACAGGGATTTAGATTTAGGAACACGTCGTTATTGTTCTTGTTGCTGCTGCCGCCGCCGCTGCTGTTGCTGCTGCTATTGCCTACCATGCGTCGCGTCGCGCCTTCATTTGATTGTTGGCGGCTTTATAACGCTCCGACAATTTTCAGTTCACTTTGACTTCGCCTTTTCTCATTACTCACGTCGACTCTTGCTGAGAGCGACTGGAGTAGAGAGGGCTTATACCTCTTGTTCGCATGCTTGTTGGTTGCTGAGGCTGTTGCTGCTGCTGCTGCTGCTTCGTCTTCTTGTTCTTCTTCTCCTTCGGTGCGAGGTTATTGACTTAGCAAGCAACGAGCAACAGACAGAGACGCACAGAGTATAAGAGAACTTGCCGTTGCCGTTGCCTTGCCGTTGCCGTTGCCATTGCCGTCGTCGTCGCCGTCATCGCGATCTTCATTTGTTCACTCGTTTGGTCTTCTGTCTTATGCCCCATTTCTGCACCGTTTGTATCCAGACTGCGACTGCGACTGCAACTGCGACAGCGACGGCGACAGAGATGGTGACTGCAGCAACAAGTACACCACAGCAATAACATCATACAGCTTTGCCCTCTTTCAATTTCTATGTGCCATTTCCCCCGTCCCATTCTCTCTCGCTCTCACTCTCGCCCTAGACATTTCAAATTTGTTCCACATTCGAGTAGAGCAATAAACAAATTAAGATATGATAAATTCAATTTTCACCTTTCATAATTTCTTAAGTACATTAAAATATGTACAATTAATTTGTCAGTTGTGAACTGCATGCAATTTAAAGAATTTGGCATTTAGCTTGCTACAGTGAAATGTGGCCGACATGAACCAACAAGAACAGCACATTCGACATTTTATTTTAATATACATACATATGTTTATTATTGTTTATATACATATATTTTTACGTATCACATTCCAAACCGAAGTTGAAGCAGTGAAATATGCCTAACGTGAACTGACGGTTATAACAGAATTTTTAACTTATTTAGTGATACAAAAATATATTAACATATTTTTATTTATTCTATTTTATTTATTAAATTAAATTTCAAGGTAAACCTAAAAATCTTTAATTAATATTGCGTTGCTTCATTCTTCTCTAGTTATATTTACTGTACTCTAACGGGCGCTAATTCTGCTGTGGCTTTCGTGCTGCACACAAAAAAAAGTGTGTGGGGCGAGCGACGGGGCGGGAATGAAACGCAGAAGAGCAGCAAACAGAACCGGAATAAAATAAAATGGATTTCAGTACAGCTGGAATGCCCAGCGAGTAAGTGGAACGTGAAAGGGGTCGGAGGTGGAGATGGTGGTGGAAGTGGAAGTAGAAGTGAAGGTGGAGGTGGAGGTGTAGGCGAAGGCAGCCGCGTGGGCGGGGCTGCAGAAGATGTTGGCTCGTCCACTTGTTTTTTGGTGTTGTACACATTATTATCAAGGATATCGCTAACCAGCCGATGGCTGCGGGCGTTGGGGGTGTTGGGACTGTCGGCTGTGCGCGCTCAAGGAAATTGTGTAAAAAAGGCCACACACAGGCACACACACACATATATATATATATATATATATGTACACATATATATATACATACTCACACCCACACACAGGCACTTGCACAAACATACATAAAATGTAAACTCTGAACCGAAACGGGATGGTTGAGCCGAGCTAAGGCTAGGTGGAGCAGCAGGAGAGGCAAAGGCAGAGCGAGAGGTAGCGGGAGAGGGCATGCGGCATACGGGGCAGCTCAGCCGGGACAATGGGTCGGGTCAGAGACAGAGTCAGAGTCAGACCAAGTCCCAGCCAGAGCCATGGGCTGTCGCACAGTTTGGCGTGGCTTGGCTTGGCCTGGCTAAAAGCGAGCGAGCGCACACAGGAAACGAGCGCGCAAGGACACACGTTGCGTGGGTGGCAGAACAACGAATGGGGGGGCCAACGGATTGGGTGGCGTGGGTGAGCGGCCAAAGCAAAGGAGTGGAAGTTGGCAGTAACGAACCCAAACCGAACGAAGGCGGCGCACGGGCAAAACTAAAATTGAAAATGGCAACGACGCCAGCGCCGAAAGGGGAAAAGGCAACGGTAAAGGCAAAAGCAAAAGCAAAAGCAACGGTGACAGTGACAGCAGCGACGCTGGCAGCGCTAGTAATAACAATAACAACAAAAACAACAGCAAACAAATGAATTTATGCAGCCAGCAGCAGCTTGCAGTTGTTGCTGCTGTTGTTGTTGTTGCAGTTGGGTATTTATGTAACGGTGAAATAGTTGTTGTATTTGTGGTAGTTGTTTTTGTTACTGCTGCTGCTGCTGCTGCTGCTACGACTGCTACTGCAGCCAGGAGGTGGAATGCATGGGAAAGACAGGCGAAGTGGAACGGGCACCCGCGCACACGACCCGATAAATTAGAGTGAGAGAGGAAGATTGGGTGAGAGAGAGAGAGCAAGCGAACGAGCGTACACACAGATGAGCAGACGGCAGGCAGCAGGCAGCAGAGGCAGACACAAATGGAAGAGAGAATGAGCAATGCAGCAGGCAGCATCGGGCAGAGAGTGGAATGGCGGAATGGGGGAATGGCGGGAAGGCATTGACGTATTTGCCATTTGCAACAGACCAAAGCCGCTGTTGCCTTCGCTGTCGCCTGCCGATGCCGATGCCACTGCTGCTTCTGCTGCTGCTGCTGCTGCTGCTGCTGCTGCTGCTGCTGCCCACTCAAAACTCAAAGCGAGCTTCGGGCTAGAGCAGAGACGTCGCACGCAGTGCAAGTAGCACAGCAGCACAGCCAGGCAGGCAGCATCTGTCCCAGCTCTGACAGCAGTTGGAGCAAGTGCACAAATACAAACATAAACATGCACACATATATACATATATTTATTTATTCACATACATACATACAAATGCATGGTATGACATGGCATAGAGGATGCCTGCGAAATAGACGCAGCTTGGGCTTAGGATGTGTGTGCGTGTGATTGTGTGTATATATGTGTGCTTGTTAGTATGTGTGTTGGGTGGCTTTGCGGCTACATAGAATTCACCCAAATGTGCCCAGTGCCAGGCTGCCCTCTGCCATTGTTGTTATCCAGCAACAACATTGATAAGCGAGAGGGCGAGAGGGAGTGAGAGAGTGAGAGAGTGAGAGTGAGCGCAGGCAACGGAACTGCGGAACTGGGAACTCTGCTGTGGGAACTCGGAATTGACGCTTTGGCATCGAACATGTTGCATTTTAGATTATCTCACAGCTTGGCTAATCGCAATTAACCAATTTTGGAAGCGCCTGAGGCCAGACATCAATCAGACATCAGAATACGGCCGCATCAAACAGATTGACATCAATCCTGGCCACAGAAACTCGAGAAGTGTTCGAGTGTGCTAAGATCCTAAAGATTGGGTCAGCTCAGTACTGCGAAATGGAAATGTCAGACGCTTTATTTCATGATTAATGATAACAACTGTACCAGGATGACCACACAGATAGATAGACAGAGAGAAAAGGGCAGTAAAAACCTGTGCCCACTCTCTCCCACTCGCTATCCCTTTCATCTTTCCCATACTGTTTGGTTTCTTGTCCGCGAGAGTGGAAAAGCTTTTAAATGATGCGGTGATTTCATTAGGCAACAAATACAATTAAAATGCTTGTTGCACGTAATCTAATATGTAATGTGTATTGCGCACAGGGACAGACAAACAGAAAGCGACAAAGGCAAAGAGAAAGAGAAAGAGAAAAAGAGAGGTAAAGCAACTCTGCTATTTAATTAATTCTTAAATCGGATTATTCAACAAAAGGACAAAACACAATATGCCACGAGCAACAAAAGCAAGAAGCAGCAGCAGCAGCAGCGGAATATATTTATAGCGCAAGAATTGCTTTTACATTTGAATGCATAAACTCCCATAAAAGTCACAAGTAACTGTTTCAAAACACATTAACACACACACACAGTCCTCCTGAGGAGGAATATGCATTTGCTTTTATATATAGTTTACGTAGATTAAGACTGACCTGACAGAATATCTGTCGACAAATGCATTATAGTCTATGTTTCTTTTTCCTTACATATCTTGGCTTTTTTTTCGATCTCTTCATCTCTCTCACTTTTACTTTGCCTCTATGCTCGCTCGTTCATTCTCTCTCTCTCTCTCTCTCTTCACCTGTTTTCATATCCTATATCTTCTTATCTCCCTCGCTCGCCTCTCTTCCTTTGACTATACATATATCTCCCTCTTTATTTATCTCTATGTTGTTTATCTCTCTATCTCTCTCTCTATCTTTCAATTTATCCCTCTCTCCTCTCTAAATTCCTCTTGATCTCTCTTTTCCCGAAACACCGTCTTTTTGCTTTATCTCCCAATTTTCCACCCAATCTCCCTCCTTCCAACACTTCATCCTTCACTCACTCTCTACCTGCATCTCTCTCTGTCCATCTCCCCATCTTCATCTCACTATCTCTTACTCTGTCTATCCTTTTCTCTAAGTATCACCTTCTCTTTCTATTGCTCTCTTTCTCTCTCGTCTTCTTCTTTAATTGTACTCACCACAACAATCTTTGATCCGTCTTTATTTTGTCCTCCAATTGGGATGTTTCATAGCTCTTCCACTAGTTGTTGTTGTTGTCGTTGATGATTATGTTGTTGCTGTTGTAGTAATCCAAATTTTCATATTTAAATAATTAGTGCTGTTGTCGTTCTTCTTCTGCTCGTTGTTGTTTTCGTTATTTCAGTTTTATTATTTCTGCTCACTCATTCACTTTGAAATGATTTCATTTTGAATATTTGTCGGCTCTTTGGCCCTGTTAACACACACACACACACACACCAACACTGATACACTCACAGAGATACCGCACACACACGATCGATTGTTGTTCACAGTAATTGTAATAAATGATTAGTGGAATTTAAGAGGCTAAAAAGAGAAGAGGAGAGAGAAAATGGGAATACCCATGAGGTCAGATGAATTAGATTGAGCTTTTAAGCTGTAGTTAAAAATAAATTTCAAATCTTTTCTTTTCTTTTCTTTTCTTTTCTTTTTGTATCATCATAATTATTCATTCGGCTGATGAAGCTATATGTCATATATCTATGATTATGATTTGATTGATTATCATCTAGAGTTGCGTTCCTACAAATAGTAGCAGTGCAGCACACCATAAACATAATAGAACCAAAAACTTCCCGACATTACGATATTAATATCGGTTAAGGGGTATTTGGAGGTCTATCAGTGAGAGCTTTTTTAGTTGTGCAGATTAAGGCGATATTTGTATAGTTAACGCTTGACACTTCAAATCGAAGAACCGTACATATACAGAAATACAGGTAAATACACACATACATATGTACATGTGTTCACACACACATATACATCTATATGCACATATGCCTTTGTAAATACAAATACACGTGCGTGCATTTGTATTTATTTTGTAGTTGACTCATTGAACTCAAAGTAAATGCGAAAATTTCCATTAACTAAAGAGCGCTTGTATGTACAAGAGAGAGAGAGAGAGAGAGATAGAGAGAGGGCAAGAGAAGACAAAAGCCAATATACTCTTTTCGCACCATAAGCGAGCAGCACAGCCGCCAGCTCGTCCATTCCCAATTAAATGAAATGCAACTTAGCTTATGGAATGAATGAGAAGCGAAACGGACGATGAGCAGAACGGATGAAGAGGACGCGAGAGACAGCAACCAGACAGTGAGTGGGCAATTAACGGTTTGTGTTCTACTTCTCTGCATCAAGCATCAAAATCGCAATCAAGCCGTTGCAAAAGTAAATACAGCAAACGGAAAACACCTTTGCCGCGCCGCACCAACTGATAACAAACTAACCTAACCTAACTATTCACATTCATAAACATCGTAAATGTGTGTGGGTAACTAACGATAAGCCCCGCCACAATGTTCGTTATGAAAACATTTATTTATAATCCATTAATAAGTTATTATTGATGTGAGGCTTTTATGTACAGTGCGCCAAATATGTCTACGTACAACAGCAACAGAATATGAATGAGTATAATAAATATACAGTGTGTCACTTAAGTTGTGGCACCATGCATACATATGTATATATGTATGTTACTGTACGAAGACATTATTGATGCACTGTACATAAACATACATGTTTCTATATATACATGTAGGAACTTTTTATGCACATACATGTATATATTTCATTTTTTATTTTAGGTTTATATCTAACTGTTTTGGTTTTGAAAGTAATTAACAAGCTATGCAAAAAACGCTCTCTTCAAATAATAATTTAGCGCTGACTCGACATAAGCTTGTCCATTCCATTGGAAGCTGGAAATGCTTCATTGAAAGGCGATCAAATGTCTGCTGAGTTGGTGTCGGTTGTTGTTGTTGTTGTTAGTGGAAAGAGGCGCAGCAAATGTGCAAAATTTACTCAGAGCTGCGTGAGATTCGAATTCAATGCAGATGCAACAGAAGTGTGTCTGTGTGTGTTTGTGTGTCGAAACGAAATGGATATTGGCAGTTGTGTGTGTGTGTGTGTATGAGTTGCGAGGGTGACTGGCGTGAAGCGCGGCATGGAAACGTGGAGAAAAAATAATAAAGGGCCCAAAGCAAATAAATGACTAAAATTAAACAACAAAACAAAATCATGATGAATGCCTCAAAAATTTGAGTTCAATTTGAAGGGATGATGATGATGATGGTGATAATGCGAAGCTGTGTGTGCAATGGACAGAGAGAGAAGTGTGAGCGAGATAGAGCGCACAAAAGGTAAAGCGAACAAAACTATAGGCCGCCACTGGAACTGCAACAACAGCACGAAATGACGAATTCACAAAAACAAACACACATACAAACGCGCGTGCACACACACACACATGGAACGACGGTAACGACCACAATAAAACCAACGAAATAAATTAAACAATATGAACAAGTAAGAAAGCTCTAGTCGAGACTGCTCGACTACGAGATCCCCTGAACCCTTGGAGCAATAGATATTTCAATACTTTTTCGCGACTTTCAGCTTACACAAGAAACACGCACACACACACACGCACGTACGCAAACACAGGCATACATACACACACACGCATACAGACACACATACACACACACACGCATACATACACAAACGCATACACACACACACATACACACACACATACACAAACACATACACACACAAGCAACCATGCATAAACACGCATGGGCTGCAGTGTGCGCTTACTATGAGAACTTAATTGTTTAATAACTTTTTTTATGGACGTACGATCTTCATGAAACTTTTAGATTATGATTATAACATGAATATGCATGTAATTGCCAAAGCACAAGTCTCTAGTATTTGAAATACGCTTTTTACAAAAGTGAGGGTGAGGGGGTGAATTTAGAGGTGGGGGGTAAATTTTAACAAATACCGAAATTGTATAAATTGCATATAAGCATACATTAAAAATTTGGAGACTCTAGCAATAAAGGTGTAGAAGATATAATTTTATAACTGGGTTTCGATAAGGGTTTTTATCGATAAAAAAATATCGAGATGAGTTATCGATTTTTAATGATAAACTTGATATGCGCGCTGTAATTACGGACATTTTAAAAAAAATTTGAAGTCTCTAGCTCTTATATCTTCTGAAATCGACGCGTTCATACATACGGACAGACGGACAGACGGACAGACGGACAGACGGACAGACAGACGGACAGGGCCAAATCAACTCAGCTCGTCACCCTGATCAAGAATATATATACTTTGTGGGGTCTGCCACGCCTCCTTCTCCCTGTTACATACATTTCAACAAAACCATTATACCCTGATTTCCCATTGAAAATGGGTTCAGGGTATAAAAAGAAACACTGCACAGCGGTGTACACCCAAAACGAGCTGGAATTGAGCTGGACAAGGGGAACGAAAGGCAAAAGGCAAGGGGGAGAGGAGAGCAATCAGCGAGGAACGAGACAAAACCGCCACCAACGGCAGCAGCAACAGCAGCCGCGCAACGACAACAACAACGACAACGACGACGGCGGCGGCATCACAAAACTTGAACGACAAAATGACAAACGGACAGACAGACAAAACACAGACGGCAACTTTTTATGTACAAGCAGTGCGAAAGACAGAAAGACCGACAGCCAACCAACCAGACTGACGGAAAAAACAAACGGACAACAGAAAATCCAACTAAATATCGAAATCACAAATCCGCAACTGAGCTGCGTTATAGCAAAAACACGAAGAAGAAGAAGTGAGCGAATGAGTGAACTGAAAGGCGCTGAGCCAAATTGAGTTGGGTTGAATGGAATGAGTGAGTTATGGAACAAAGTAAGTTTAACTCGCCGATAAGTCGTCAAAAAAGACATATAAATCGGTCAGTTAGCTAAACCAACAAAATGCAGTTGGATGCCAAAGCGAATGCAAATGGAGACTTATAATAAAATCCACGCACTTTTCTATTATTTATATACATATCTGTGTATGCACACGTGTGTTACATACATAAGTATGTATGTATTTATATTTGTGTACAGCATAAATACTGCTCGATTTGCACAGTGAAGCAAAGCGATCGTCGTAAGGCGAAGGGAGACAAGCAGCCAAGGCGCGTTCCGTAGCACAAAACAAAAAGCGCAAAGCATATCCAAGCTAACAGCAGCAACGACAACGGTGAACATCTATAGCCACAGCGACTGCGACTACGGCAGCGACGTTGGCAGCGCTGCGGGTCGTGTCATGCACACATTTGGTATACACACACACTTAAATATGTATATACATACATACAAACATATACAGGTCGGGCTGGGCAAGCAAGCAGCGCCAACAACAATAACAAAAGCAGCTAGCCAAGAAGCAAGAAGAAGAATAAGAACAACAATAATAACAACCACGACAGCGAGACATAAAATAAATGAGCGACGCTGCCGCGCAAACATGTCTCCAATAATGTTGTTGTTGCTGTTACTGTTGTTGTTTTTGCTGTCGGCTGGTCTGCTGCTCGCTCGGCCATTCGTTCATTGCGCCGCTGCTTCAATTTCGTTTTTCTTAACGTTTCTTCGCCGTAATTATTGATACATGAAAAAAAAAAAAAAAAAAAAAAAATACTGAAAACGCCGACGCTGAAGTTGACGCAATAAATCCAATTGGAGTTGCAATAGCTAGACGTATGTATGCGTGTATGTGTGTACGTTTATACACGTGTATGTATGCAATTAGCTAATTATTGCATTGGTCAGTAACTTGTTTAAGCACAATGGAGCAACAAGAACAAGCACAGCCGTAAGGCACCGGACTTTGTTCTCTGCATTTGTTTTGCACATTCTGTATAGTCGATAAAATTTATGATTAGCTTTTGCGTGATTTGTCATTTGAACGAGTATTTGATGTGCTCTCTATTGGAATTTTACAGTTAATGGTAACAGTTAAGCAGCAAAGCGCAAACGAACGCTAACCGCGAAGCTAGGCGCTGACTGTGACAGCGACTCAGACAGAGACTGCGGCGACACATTGCTCGCGTTTTTATTGATTTGACAATTTTGTTTTGTGTGTATAACGTGCAGCAGCAGCAGCAGCAGCGGCGGCGGCGGCGGCGGCGGCTTTAGATAACTGCAAATTGAACGTACACATATGTATGTATGTACGTACATATTTATATACAGCTGTATGCACATGTGTGTATGTATAAGAATAGCAAAAGCGAACAGCATCTCGCAACTGTGAATAATTTTAAATCCTTTTTGGTTGCGTCTTTGAAGGAGCAGAAACAGAGTAAAAGAGAGGGCATAGAGTTCACACACAACTGACAAAAGAATATACGGTGGCCAGGGTGCACACACACACATGCACAAAAGAGAGGCACAGACGCGTATACACACACACATGCAGTCTCGTCGAGGCAGACAGAACTTGCTGCTCTGCCTCTG